TATCATATAAATTCACACCTCATAACATATAATATGAACAAAGCATATACACATAATACAAACTTAATCATGCTTTTATTCATGCAAACATATAAAATATTGGAAACAAACTTATCACAAGTCTAATTTCCATATATAATATACACAATCTAATAATATGCACTCACCTTGGCCTCACTAAGTTCAATCCACTTTTATGATTTCCTCTCTTTCGATTGAATCTTAACTTGATAATCGTTCTGGAACTTGTTTATGTTCGATATCTACATAATCATACATTGATACATATCAGTATTTAATTGATATACCCTAATCTATCATTTCTTAGACCAAAATAAATGTCTATTTCAATTCCCCTTGAAGTGCATCGATGCATTCTACAGTGTATCGATGCATCCCTTAACATGTGCATCGATGCACTCCTTATGCATTAATTGCATTCGATGTTTCCATTTTAAGGGGTGCATCAATACACACTGAACAATTTATGGAAATTTACCCTTGATGCATCGGTACATAATGAATGTGTACCGATGCACACTAGCCCAGAAATCCAATTTATGCCCAAAAATTCACTCTTTTCAACTTAATTACTTCATACATCCTCCTCTTTCTTATTCTTAACTTACATACTCATATTCAAACTCATTTTTATTCATTAATCACCTCTTTAACATCAAAATCCTATTCTCCATATGTAATTCAAGAATCATACTCAATTTCTAACATGTTCCAAATCAAATTTTATTACTTCATATCTCTTAATTAGATTGATGACAAGTCAAATTTAACTTCCAATTCTAGTTAAAAACTCTATTCCAAGATTTCATCCAAGAACCTCAAATCTTTAATCCATCCTAACTCCATCATACTTTGATTTTAAGATAACGTAAGCTTTCCTTAAGCTTAGTTATCATCTAATAATCAAAACCCAATCTTAAATTTAACCAAAAACTCAATAATTGGTAAACTCACCTTTGGCTCTTGGTTTTTACGCGTGAAGGAAGAAGAAAGATGACGAGAATTATGGAAACCACTTTGTTTCCTCTTCCCTTCCACGTGTTAAATATATAATCATATTTAAATATTTTCCTTACAAATGACCCTTTTGCCCTTCAATTCACCTTATAATTACTAACATCTTTTAGGCAATATTTCAAAATAAATCATTGAACTTTTCATTATTCTACTTTAGTCACCAAATTCTAAAACTTTACAATTTAGTCACTAACCCGGTATTGCGGATGTTACACTACCGATCCAATTTTTGAATTTATATCCGTTGGAACTCGTCACACCGGCGTGACGAGTTCCATGTCGTTTTTTTTCTTCAGATTTTTTAAAAAATTCTAAAAGTTTGATATTATTTTTAACTTCAAAATTTTAAAAAATTAATATATTTTTTTCAAATTTGTTAAAAATTTCTAAAAGTTTGATATTATTTTTAACTTCAAAATTTTAAAAAATTTAATATTTTTTTGATTTTATTAACTACACTAAATATCAATGAACTTTAAACAATTATAAAATTTTATAATTTTAAAAAAGTACACTTTATTTAATTCTAATTTAAAAAATAAACAAATTTATTACTTAACAATGAATTTTTTATACAATTAAATATTGAGTACAAAAACTTAAATAAATAAATTTATTACTTGTATTTGCACAATTCTTGCCTATGTCGAGACATGGTAAAATGTTAATGATGTGGTGCTCGTCGATTTCATCGTGGTCGTCCACCTTCTTTATTTTCCTCTTCTTCTGATTTCAGTGTGTCGAACACTACTCCACCACTTTGATATACATCTTCAGGTGAAAACGATGTAGTACTCAAGGTATTTGACGCCATCATTGACGTCATCGCCTTAAATTGAGATTGTCCGTGAAGATGAAGATGATCTCATGGACCTCTTTCTTCCGGTTCTGAGGAAAATTGTTGTGAGGGTGGCACTTGATCCCACTCACTTCATTCCCACGCCGCTCGACTCTTCATCGATGTTGATATGCACCATATCCACCATAACTTTCTTGCGATGAATAACAATTGGCGGAAGCATAAGATGAAGATATTGCTGAAGATGATGATTTTTTCCATATTTTGCCTTCATTATTTCCCACTCGGACCGCTCCTCCGACATTGTCAAGTATGATTTCCCAATTTCTTCATAATTTTAGAGGTAGGAAGAACCATTGAAATCAAAATCTTCGGGTTGTACCTCAGAACGATTAAGTAATCGTAAATGTCTATTTTGCCATTGATATATGAATATATCATGCTTCCTCGACCAATCTTCGGTATGCTTCTTACGTGCATCTATTTTATGCAAATCGTCAATGTCATATATTGACATTTCTATCAGTTTGTGAAACCCAAATTGTCGTAAAACTCTATCGGCGACATGGATCTCAACAATTGCGAAATGGAGAAATAGTGTTATGACACACTATGTCTCCGCTCATTCAAAGAACATTGGCGGTAGACACCGTTGGATATCCAACTCATATTAAGGCATCTAATTAAACTGTCAAAAGTATTATGTTAGTATAATTAAATAATTAATATTATAATTTCAAAGTTAATGCAAAAAATACTAAAATTTACCGCATGTCTACCGGCGATATCAATCTTCATCCGAATATCTACTTTGGTTGCACCCGACAACTTTGTATCGATTATTTGGTGTCACCATCTAAAAAAAATTACGTTATTTATTGTCATTTTCAAAATATTTAAATAAATATTATAAATTATCAAAACTTTAAATATATAAATTTACCTTGCGACGAGAGGAAACTCCATAGGAGCGGATGTAATAGGCGTCATAAACGGGATACGATACCAAGCCCATGATTGGAGCAAAACTAAACAACCCGTTATATCCACTTTTTTTCCTCTAACGACTACGGTCGCCTTACATAGTTCACGATATAAAAACGCCAAAATTGCATAACCTCAACTATATTGGCGACATACAACGAAAGCCTCCATTACCGAAAGATATTGGGTGTGCACCAAATTTCCCGATTTATCCAGTAGCAATATCCCTTCAATCAACGTCATAAGATATGTTCAAGCTGCATATATCACATGTTGCTTCGTTGATTGTTCATTTACTCTAAATTCTCTTTCCAATCACGACATCCGTACCGGCAACCCATCAATGACATCGGTTGGAGCCTCATTTCCCAATAAATTTGAAATAACAACATTTACCTTATAAGTGTAGCGAAACACCAATGGCATACCATTAATCAGAACGCTAAGTTGATACGCGACATCTTCCAAAGTTATCGTCATTTCACCATAAGGTAAATGAAACGTATGCGTTTCGGGCCTCCAACGCTCAATCAACGGCAATATCAGTGTCGACATCACCTTAAATCCGCGAAGAATGTCGCTCGATATAATCCGTATTGTGAAAGATATATCACCATCCGCTCATGTTGCTCTTTATTCGTCATTCCTCGATGACGAATGGCTCGTTATTCTCACTACAATTTGAAAATAAATTATTTAATACAATTACATAAATAATTATTATTAATACTATAATTTTGTCAAAACTAAAATGAAATAAAACAAATTAAATTTACCGTTGTCAACTCGATTGACGAAATATGAACATATCCAGACGTAACATTTCTTCTCTTGAGGCCATTTTAACACAAATTCTTCAACACAAAAGTTTTTGCTCTCAGTAGAATGTTTGATTACAAGTGAAAAATCAATCCAACTCAAACATCTATTTATACTACTCTACGCAACGGCTAGTTTTTCAAATTGAAAATAGTCGTTGGAACTTGTCACATCGGCGTGATGAGTTCCATTAAAATTAAAAAAATCGACTGTTGAACAACGGTCAATTCAACGGTAAAAAAAGTCAAATTTATACTCGTTAGAACTCGTTACACCGACGTGACGAGTTTCATGGGCATTAAAATATTTTTTTTTTACTTTTCTTTTAAAAATTTTAAAAATATATATTTTTTATTGGGACTCGTTATGCCGAGGTGACGGTTCCTCAATATATATTAAATTTATTCTAGTTGTGGCCCCACTTGACACAGCTCATTAAAAATTTATATCACATGAAACTCGTCACGCCGGCGTGACTAGTTCCATAGACACTATTACATTTGACGTATATCCCAAATTAAAAATTTAGGTGTCGTATTAAACTAAATAATCCACCCGCCCAATTTGACCCACATAACGTAACATTCCAAAATTTCTTATGATCAAGAAATAACTAAAATAATCTAATTTACAAAGTATAATAAATATTATTGTTTTATCACTAACTTATTTATGATGTATAATAAATATTTTTTGTCTTATCACACCTTAAAAGTCTTCTTTTTTTAGAATAAAAATTATGTTTTCATTAACTGAAAAACGTAGAATATAACAAAGGTAACAGAATCTAAATATGGAAAATAAATAAAGCGAACAAAAATAAAATTAAAATATTTCTTTAAATATTATAATAATAACAATTCCAATTAAATTATGATGATAATGATATATAGCCTACCTCTCTATAAAATTAGAAGGAAAAAAGTATTTGTAAAATGTTTTTTTTTTGCTTTCTATTTCAATGATTTTTTTTATTAATCTATTTCGATCTACATAGCACATTTGATTATGGTGAGTGAACTTATCAACAATGATTTTTTACATATATAAGAATTTGAACTCGATATCTTACTTAAACTATATAAAACTACTTACCACTTAAACTAATAAACACATATTTCATCTAAGTAATTATATAAACTTAAATTTTTTTATTGAAAACAATTCTCCCTTCTTAATGTTCATCCATATAAACATTTAGCGAAATACAGACATTTTTACTTCAAAATCATATGAACAGTAGTACTTATAGTTAGGGGTAACGTGGTAAAATGGGTAGAAGAGATTCTATTAGGGCTTCCCGGGCTTTCCTCATTAATGGCAAGATTCACTTTTTGGTAAACCAGAAAGCGTCCCACAATTGGTTTTTGGACCTTGTATTTTGGAACTGTAAACGTGGAAGCATTACCAGCAAGAAAACACAAACCAAATTACACCAAGTTTTTATTCTTTCAAACCTCTGTAACGTGCAATCAACGCACTCCTTCCTTGCTTCCTTCAATGTCTGGGCATTTTGCTTATACAAAGCTGATCACACAAATGTGGGTTTTTTCCTGACTATTGCACTTTGGGTTTGGAAGTTAAGAGTGAAGGAGAGAAATAGAATAAAAGATGAAAGGGGTTGAAAGGAGGTTTTGTGAGGAGTTTTCACCTGGGTATTATGGGATTTGTACTTTTGGAGGAATGCTTAGTGCTGGGACTACTCATCTTGCTGTTACACCTCTTGATGTCTTGAAAGTAAATATGCAGGTGGGTTTACTTTGATTCTTCTTCTCCCTTTCAAACTGTTGAATATGATCATCTTTTGATATTTTGAATAATGACGGCTTCCTTTTTTGTTTATGATTATATTTGAATGTGTATCACTCACTTGTTTTGATATTCTGAATGATGATGGCTTCCCTTTTTTGTTTATGCTTATATTTGAATGTGTATCACTCACTTCTTTTGATATTTTGAATTATGATGGTTTCTTTGACTACTCATTTCTTGCATATTGTGTAAGTTTAGCAACTATTGAGAAGAAAATCAGACTCCCAAGTTGTCTTTCTTTAATTATTACTTAGAAAATAGTGTTAGGGATAACTAGAAAGATGGAAATTCTTCAAGAGTTTTAAACAGAAAGATGGAGCTTGTGAAGATTTTTAAACAGAAGGCTAACACTCGTCAAGAGTTCTAGCTCATAAAGTTGATCCGTAAGCTGCTTCGACGCAAGTGGCAAGTTGGAATTCAGCATGTGTTGCGTCAAGGAAACGTGGTAGCTGATTTATTAGCTAAGATGGATCGAGATAAAACTATGGAACGAGAGATCTTCGACACGCCCCTTCCCCAGCTGGCTGTGTTGGTGCAGGAAGAAGCTATGTTAGTTTCACCAAATTAAGTGTCCTTGTTAAATAAAAAAGGAAAAAGAAAAAAGAAAGATGGAAATTCTTCCCTAGTTTGAGAGAGAAGGATGTGGAGAAAATTTCAGCCCATAAGGGGAACCATCAACGGACGAGTTGTGTGGCAAGTGTGCTTGCCATGGTAGAACCAGTTCATAGAGCAGTAGAGAAATAAATTTCCTATATGTTGTGTTTTACCTTTATGGCATTTTGACTGTCATCAAATATGGAAACAATAGGTGGGTTTTAACTGTTCTATGTAGTTTCACTGTACTTCATGATCTCCTCAGCTTCCATCCATCTTTTGTTCTTTTAAGTTTGCTTATGTAATTATTTGATTTTATTTAGGTGAATCCAATCAAGTATAGCAGCATTTCATCAGGATTCTCCGCCCTTTGGAGAGAGCAGGGGCCATCTTCTCTTTGGAGAGGTTGGTCTGGCAAGTTGTTTGGATATGGTGTTCAAGGAGGCTGCAGATTTGGTCTTTATGAATACTTTAAGGAGCTTTACTCCAATGTTTTGGTTGATCAAAACAAGACCTTCATATTCTTTCTCAGCAGTGCATCTGCTCAAGTATTTGCCGATGTGGCTCTCTGTCCTTTCGAAGCCATTAAAGTTCGTGTTCAGACACAGCAGACTTTTGCTAAGGGTTTGACTGATGGATTTCCTAAACTTTATAAAACCGAAGGGCTTGCAGGGTACGTGATGCCGATGCCCGAATCTTTTCTGCTTTTCCTTTGTCAGTAATGTTTTATCTATCTCAATTTGATTGCAGCTTTTACAAGGGACTTGGTCCACTTTGGGGCCGCAATCTTCCATGTAATGTTAATACTTCACTGCACTTTCAGAATTTTCAGTTGATTGATCCTAGTAACAAATTTAAGAGGTTGTTTACTGGTGGTTATTGGTACTTGAGAACCTTCCTGTCTAACTTGACATGCCCTCTATTAGTTTGCAATCTTATATTGGACAAATTCTGAGTTGCAAATTATTCTAATGATTTCTTGGTTCAGTATTCTCTATGATCAGTAATTATCTAAAGAATGTCTCGCAAGTACTCTGTCTATTTGTAGTGGGATCATTAGATAATTTTGCTAAACAATGAAGATAATAATATTGACATTGCATGTTTGCTGGTCATCTGTTTGAGGAATTCTTAGAATCACCTTTGTCTCTTTTTCTGGATCATGCAGTTAGTTCTTCTGTGACATTTATGTGTTGCATCGTTGCATGTTTGCTGGTCATCTGTCTGAGAAATTCTTAGAATCACCTTTGTCCCTTTTTCTGGATCATGCAGTTAGTTCTTCTGTGACATTTATGTGTTGCATTGGGTGCATAATTACGGTAATGTCTTCTGGGAAACCAATCTTTAGGGTAAAAGATATGCTTTTTATCTCAAATAGATAGATGATCAATGTACTCGCATCAGGGAAGTGTACAGAAAGCTTATGATGACTAATTTACCAAAATTGTGCTTGTTTTCTGCCTGGCTGGATCATGAAGTCTGGGTTTGAGCTCACGGAACTTGTAATAATCTTGCTCTGATATAAGATTTTGACGCTTTATGTTTCCAAATGAAGTTTAAAACCAAGTTAGAATACTTAGACTTGTAGGCAAAAGGATATTTTCTCAGTTAACATTAGTTTCTGCATGGTCAGCGGAGATTTTAGTGTATGTCAATTCATACTGCAATTTGTTTCTAACCTTGTTTGATATTCTGATGGCAGTCTCGATGATAATGTTCTCAACGTTTGAGCATTCAGTGGACTTCATCTATGGAAGTATTGTTAAACAGAGAAAAGAAGACTGTTCTAGAGCTCAACAACTCGGTGTTACATGCTTAGCAGGGTATGCAGCTGGAGCAGTTGGTACTGTCGTCTCTAACCCGGCCGATGTCGTTGTTTCTTCTCTTTACAACAAAAAGGCTGAAAATGTCTTGCAGGTAGCACCTATTAGTAATGCTTTTTTTTGGCCAAATTTAAGTACAAGCTAAAATGATATAATCGTGTTTTCAATATCATAACTTTTAGGCTGTTAGAAAGATCGGGCTTGTTAATCTTTTCACTAGAAGTCTTCCTGTACGCATCACACTCGTTGGACCTGTCATTACCCTGCAATGGTTTTTCTATGACACCATCAAACTTCTATGTGGACTGTAAGTGTTTTCTTGAGCTCCAAGTTATGAATTCATTAGAAGAAAGACTAGCGTTAGGCTGCATTCACTTTGCTGCATTCACTTTCAGACATGATAAATTCCAATTTTCTGCTTCATGGAATTTATAACTTTTTATCCCACGCATATTGGGATATGGTCATAGTCATAGAGATATGATCCTCTTCATCCATAGAAAAACTTGGAAAAATTGAACAAATTCATCTCAAACATATATTCGTACTTAGCACTGATCACATTCCTTTACGCTTATCCTCATTGTTTGAAAAATGTGAATTTCTCAGGCCTGCTAGTGGAGGATTGAATAGACAACTTCAAGAAGCCAATTTATTAACTTAAGCTGTTGGACACCGGAGGAGAATCTACGAAAGTTCCATCAGAACAAGGTATGGAAACATGAAAAGTTAAAAATCCCTGCAATGTTGGCGTATAATACCTTATCGTCCTGATCATCGATATGCCGGAATGTTAGTCGCTCATGAATCTTCATAAAGGTTCAACAATGTCTTAAAATTCTTCTATCTGTCTCTTGAACAATCCCCTAACTTTTGTTTGTAGCTTGAGGGGTATCATAGCTTGTTTAGTCATGAGAGAATGTCACGAGTTCTACATTTGCAGACATGACAGATTAAAAATGAAAGTAGTCGATATTGCACGATCGTGGCTGACTGCGTTCTTTGGCACATAGGTCATGTATCTTGTGTTTTTTTTAATTATATATTTGGTTCAAGATGAAGTGACTTTGCCAATAGGTGTGCATGCAGAAAGACGTACGATTTTATTTCAAGGGATGAATTTCTAAAGTATTAGAAAAAAATGAACGTATAAAGTTCTAATGATGCAAAAGTGGATTATCAATGAAAAAAATAAAAAATATCTAAAAAATTTATAAAAATTTAAGAATTTCAAGGAATGACCGGAAGGCCTTTATTCATCTCTTTGTGCATGACATAGAAAGTGAAGTGTCAATAGGTTTTTTACGAGAAAATTTTCGTCCCATCATTTTTAAAAAATCTATAAAATGGATAATGAAGGATGGGTGTGAAATAAAGGTAGTTACAAATAATAATATTTATTTGTTGAAAAATGTTTTTTTAATCCTTTTGCTATTAGCACTAAAAAAAATCTGAGACCGAAGCACCCGATTTCTGGGTTTAGAACATAAACTAGATCATTATAATGAAGCATAGTCGGTAAACGTTCCGTCTTTATTTGATAAAATAACCTACATGTAACTTTCAGTCTTTTTCAAACGATCCATTGCATATCTTGCCAATGGCATAAGCTTCATTTCTTCGTTGTTGTTGGGTTCTTTTTCTTTCGAGCAAATGAAATTTGGGCAAAAAAGAAACTAAAGGATAATCAACGTTCATTTACTGGGTCATACATTAGCTCATTTGGGCAAAAAAGATGCAAGCTTCTAAGGAGCCAGGTTAAAGCTGTCAAAATTAGCTCATTCGGCAGATATGAAGATGATGAAAGTTAGCCCTAATATATCATTACCTTTATTAGATTCTAAATGCAAACATCTATTACGACTGAAACTTTCAACTTCCGTAAGTCATCTCAGCATGCAGGGCGAACAAAATCCCCCACGAATCTCAGTTCTTGTTACACGTTGAGATGTAATTGTTCTTTACAAAACTTCAAACCCTGAGAATATAGCGATAGAGTGTCAGACAAATGAATGGGGTCTTCGACTTATGAGAATTCCACATCTTAGTTCAGAGTTCAGAGAGAGATCACATATGCTTATCATTCTATGGCAATGGAAAATTTTCCAGCAAGAGATTCAATTTTCTAGAAACAACAAAACAATGGACCCAAAACATGAATCTAGTTGATCATGGAACGGATTCTGATGGATTCCATATCAACAAAAACTGAAAACATAATAAGCCAAGTAATGACAAAGTGACCATCATGGCAAGCGTATCGTAATTAAGATCAGGACGAAATCTGGAGGCAAAAAATCCGAGTTGAATCTCACAAAGTGCCCAAGAGAAAGAAAGAGAGAAAAAAGGTGCATATTACCATTGTCTCTTTGACATGACATATCAAAAAAATTGCTAAGAAATAGTGACCGTCTCAAATATAGGATTGCAGCTTAATTTTAATATATAAGCTACCTCCCATTCATTTTGATTGTAATTTAATTTTTCTATCTAGAAACCTCATTTATACCTTTAAATAAGATTTAACCGCAAGATGCATTACTACCTCTATGACTTACCAAAATAAGCAAGGCATTAGGATCAAACACAACTCTGTTTTCTATTGCCTAAACATCTACTCCCTTCTACACAAGTTCTTTACAGGTTATCCTCAGGCACTGAGGTATGATGACTGGTAATGAAGTCCAGTCTGATTAGCTTATAGGTTGAACCAAAAACCGGATCCCTCTAAAGAAAACCATCACAACTCCTAACTATAAGCAACATTAATCTCGACAATCAGGAAAAGAGACTACTAACAAAACAAAGGAAATCAGTTAAAATATGCTAATAATATATGCATTTTAAGTTAAACCCAAGGAACAAAACAAATGCTATGAATCTTTCTTATTTTGGTAAGTCTCTAGAAACACTATTATTCCAAGAATCAAGATAAAATGATGAAGCAATAATTAACAAATAAAAGCAGGAGAGACAAATGGTCTGCAACATTAAATGGTCTATAATAATGAAAGCAATTTGCTATGCCAAAACAAAGATACGCAAGTACACACCAAGAAACCTATTCGCTGATATTCTGCATGGAATTTTCATTGTCTTCGTCCTCATCGTCTGTCTCCTCCTCCTCATCATCCTCTTCCTTCAACTTTGCAATTTCTGCTTGTGCCCTATCCAAAATCTGCTTCTTTTGTACCTCCAACTCCTCCTGAAAATCCATTCTCATCTTCTCTAACTCCTTCATATGCTCCCTCTTACTACTCTCAATCTTCCCATATATCTTACCAAACCGCTGCACCGAGTCGGCCAACATCCTCATCGAATGCTCATCGTGTACTTCGGCTTTCATGCTTGACTCTCCATCCTCCTCCTCCTCCTCCTCCTCCTCCTCCTCCTCCTCCTCCATCTCTGACTCAGTGGGACTATCCCTCATCTCATCAAAACCATTGGACCTATCCAAATAAACCTGCGGATTCATAAACACAAACTCCCCGGAATCCACTCCACAAGCCAACCATGATTCTTGTTGCTTATACGAAGAACCCAACCCCATTAACATCTCCATTTTCCTAAAAAACACCCATTTACTCGAATTCAACCCCTTTCTCTCGGCTTTCGACTTCTCTTTCTTAAACTTCCTCTTCAACCCATCGATCATACGCCTACACTGGGCTTCATTTTTCACACTCTTCAAAGCATCACTAACTTTCTCAGCTACATCAACCCAATCTTCACCCCTCAAACTCCTCCTCCCCAATTGCAAAAACCTATTCCCCCAAACTTCTAACAGAACATAAATCTCTTGCTGCGACCAATCATATGCAGTTTTGAAGCTATCTCTATGGTCGGGTGTGTACTGGAAGCTGGGGACTGAAGTTCTCAGCTTTTTCCGCTTTGGGTACCTTTCAAAACGCTCGCTTTCTTTAACACGACGGTAATAAACATCTGGGTCATCATCGTTATCGTCATCTACGTTGTTGTATTCTTGTTCCAATTCTTCTTCATCATCGAGCTCTTCGTCTGGTCCGTAACTGTATACGTGGCGAGTTCTGGTCGAACGAGGATATTGAGGATGGCGATTAAAAGAATAGGGTTCAAGGCCATCCATCACCCCTTTAATGGTTTCTCCTTTTTTTTTTCCTCTTAGGTTTTGATTTTGGGAAGATAGCGATTGGTTTGGTTCAGTAAAGAAAGAAAAGTAATGCTTCTCGGAAATAACAAAACCCTCAATTGAAAATTCTAGGGTTCGGAAACGTTCAAGAATCGAGATTGAGGACGAGGGTGAGTGCAGTAATCTGCAAAGCAACTCGAATTCGGGTATTTCGGATCTTTGATTTTGGGCCTTACTTGGGTTTAAAGAGTTAAGCCCTGAAAAGATTCATCGGTCTATTTTTAGGATAAAATACATATTTAGTATCTCAACCATCACTTTTATTTTATTTTAGTCATCCAATTATTTTTTGTTTTAGGGTGATCAAAACAGAACAAAAGTAATAGTTGAAATATTAAACGTGTATTTTATCTTTTTTTCTTAGTATGAGGTGATTCATTCTCTTAATCAATTGATAATGAACACACTTTAAAATATGTTTTGCATTATATACACTACACAGCCAAATATATTCACAGACAAAACATATTTTGAGAACTTACTACAGGATTACCAGAAAATAAATATAAAAATTCTGCCTTAACATGAAAATTAAGCACATGGTGGTGGGATTTGGGTGCCAATGTATTTAGCCCTAACATTTTTACAAGTGGAAGTGGCTTGTTTCGTCTTGATGCCATCTCCAAAGTGAACATCTTCAAGGTAAATATCCTGATATGGAATCCCTTTGTTATATTCTAGTGCTACTGCCACTGCAGAGGATGATGTTTCATTTATTTTCTTGAAATATATGTCACTCAGTTTCACTTGAGATGGTCCCTGCACTCAACTCGTTTAGTCACTCAGTTTCTTTCCTGGTATATGACAAAGGGTAGGTATTTTCATGGCTTTTATCATTTGGAGAACTTACCATTGTGGAGCAAGATGTGAAGGGATAATACGCTTGATTGATTTTAATCGGATTAGTCACGTTTTCCATGTTGATGTTTTCGAATGTCATGTTGGTTGCAATACTTTAGCCTGGCGAATTAGCCCATGTTTTGATTTTAATGTCGTTTGAGGTCCCTGCCATGGTGCAATCTTTAACCACTAATCTAGTTACATCACCTTCATCCTTGTATCTTCATAGACTTCCTACGTTGTTAAACGGTGTTGATAATGCTCATTATTCCACTAGTATTAAATAGTGGTTATCCCACTAGTATTGGATAGTGGTTATCCCACTAAGTATTGGATGATGGTTATCCCACTAGTATTGGATGATGGTTATCCCACTAGAATTGGATAGTGGTTATCCCACTAGTATTGGATAGTGGTTATCCCACTAGTATTGGATAGTGTTTATCCCACTATGTCTAATAGAATTAAAATATGTTTTGGAAATGGCGATTTTGCCCTCACCATTTAGCCTATAAATAGTGTGCAATTTTATTCATTTTGAGATATCCCAAGCAAAACATTTGGTTTGAAACACTCATCTCTTTTGAGTGTTGTTTGAGTTGAGAGAAGAGCAATACCACCAAGTTCACTCCAATTTTCGGGTGTACGAATTCTTGGAGAGTCGTGTTAACCTTGGGGGAATGATCTGCCTACTGCAGCGATTACACACATCAGGGCGAATTCGTTTCTAAGCCAGTGGTTTTACCACGACACGGTTTATGAATATGTTTCTTTTAAATTACTATTTATCTTTCTTGTCAGTGCTAACGGTGTGATTTTGCAGTCCATATTTCCAACAATTTAGAAACGAATTCCTTTATACTGCAATTATGACATCACATTTGAGTAAATTAATTCCTAATCTTTCCAAGCTCGATGCACTTGAAGGAAAGAATTATCGATGGTGGTCCCAACGAATCCTTATATTCTTCGAGTAGCTTCATCTTGATTATGTGCTACTCAAGTCACCACTTACCATGCCGCCAACCCCATCTGCCAAAAATAATACGAATGCAGTTCTGAATGATGATGCCTTAGCAGCTGCCACTGTAACTCTCGCCACCTACGAGAAATATGAGAAAGGTAACAAAACGGTGCAAGGACATCTGCTCAGTCACATGTCAAATAAATTATTATATGTTTCTTAGAGAAAGGAATGCCAAGGTGATTTTGGAAACTCTAGAGAAAAAGTACGGTGCAGATGATGCAGGCATCAAAAAGTACGTTGTCGGTGAGTGACTTAAATTCCAGATGACAGACGATAAGCCGATAATGGATCAAGTTTATAACTATGAGAACTTGGTTGCTGACATAATCGCCGAAGGGATGCAAATGTGTGAGGTACTGCAAGCCAATGTTCTTATTGAGAAGCTGTCCAAGTCCTGGTCCGACTACCGCAATTCTCTTAAGCATAAGAATAGAGAAATTTCACTTAAAGAGCTGGTGAGCCATATGAAGATTGAAGAAGCCAATCATTTAAAAGATAAGGTTACTAATTCTCTGAGTAATTTATCTTTTAGCGCTAACTTGGTTGAGTCTAGATTCAAGAAGCGTGAGAATCAAGACAAGAAGACAAAATCTCAGAAGGCTACCAACTTCAAGAAGTCAGGAAAGGCCAAACCTGAAGGAAAGAAGATCAAGTGATGTGTTTATGGTTTAGCCGACCACAAAGCTTACGAATTCCAACACCGCTCAGACCGCCAGAATGACAACATTTCACAGATGCATGTTGTAGAAGAAGATGATGAAATCATTGCTACGGTGGTCTCATAAGTTAATCTGGTGGAAAACAATTCGGAATGGGTAGTTGACATTGGCGCTTCGAAGCATTTCTACACTAGAAAGGAGTTATTCACCGAATTCAAAAAATGGGAATATAGGTGAACGTGTGTACATGGGGAACTCTAGCAGCTCTGAAGTGCTAGGAAAAGGTAAGGTTTTACTCAAGATGACTTATGGTAAAACTCTGGACTTAAATAATGTTATGTATGTACCTGCTTTGCGTAGAAATTTGATAAGTGGTGGGCTTCTGAATAAGGCATGCATTAAGTTAATTTTTGAGATAGATAAACTTGTATTTTCTCGAAATGGTTATTATGTTGGAAAAGGTTTTTTAAACAATGGTTTATTTGTCATAGAAACTCAATTTAATGAAAATAAAGCTACCACTTCTGCTTAAATTGTTGAATCCATTGATATGTGGCATGCTAGATTAGGACACTTGAATATTCATGCTTTAAAGAAATTAATGAATATGAAAGTTCTGCCTAAACTAGATATAACTAGCTTTAACAAATGTGAAATTTTTGTAGAAACTAAGCATACTAAATCTCACTTTAAGACTGTTTCTAATAGAAAGACTGAGCTGTTAGAACTCATTCATACTGATCTAGCAAATTTTAGAAACACTGAAAGTAAGGGGGAAACTACTACATAACTTTTGTAGATGATTATTCAAGATATACAAAAGTTTATCACCTAAGAACTAAAGATGAAGTTGAAAATTTCTTTGTTATTTATAAGGCAGAAGTTGAAAATCATTTAGATAGAAGAATGAAATGGGTTAGATCTAATAGAGGTGGTGAATATGGATCTAATTTCTTAAAAGATATTTGTGAAAAGAATGACATAATTCATGAAACTTCAGCCCCCTATTTTCCTCAACAAAATGGTATAGCCGAAAGAAAAAAATAGAACTTTAAAAGAGATGATGAATTCTTTACTGATAAGTTCAGGGTTATCTGATAACATGTGGGGAGAAACCATTCTATCGAAAAATCATATATTGAACCGAGTTCATCGTAAGAAATTAGATTCTACCCCATATGAATTGTGGAAAGAATACGCTCCTAATTTACATTAACTAAAAGTGTGGGGGTGTCTGGAAAAAGTGGGTTTGCTGGACTTTAAGAAATCCACCATCGGACCTAAAATCGTTGATGCAGTGTTTATAGGGTATGCTACGAATAATGCTATATACAGATTCATGCTTTTACAAGATTATTCTATGTGTGAGTCAATGGATGCTGTTTTCTTTGAAAATACTTTTCCTTTAAAGGAACCGAGAATAAATATCGAAACACAAATATAATATATTACATCTACTTCTTCTAGTAGTCCTACTAGGTCTTCTGAACAAATTGTTTTTGAGCCTAGAAGAAGTAAAAGGCAAAGAGTTGAAACCTCTTTTAGACCATACTTTATTACTTCCTTTATTTTTGAGATTAATAATTTAGACTCCATTTCAGATCCTATAGCTCAAATTTTTCTGCTAGATGAGGATCCTAAAACTTTTGAAGAAGCTATAAGATCTATCGATGCTAGTTTCTGGAAAAGCGCTATTAATGATGAACTAGAATTGATAATGTTTAATCATACTTGGGAATTAGTTGACTTACCTAAGGGATTCAAACCAATCTGCAACAAATGGGTCTTCCGGAAGAAATTAAGGCCAAATGCTTCGATTCAATGGTACAAGGCAAGGTTAGTCGTCAAAGAATTCACTCAAAAGTTTGGTTTAGACTACTTTGATACATACTCTCCCATTACGAAAAATCTCAACGATTCGTGCATTATTTGCACTAGCCTCTATTCATAAGTTGCAGGTACATCAAATGGATGTTAAGACTGCATTTTTGAATGGGGATCTAGATGAGGAGATTTATATAGAGCATCCACTAGGTTTTGAAGCACTTGGTATGGAAGACAAAGTCTGTAGACTTAAAAAGTCACTTTATGGGCTTAAGCAGGCTCCTAAACAGTGGTATTAGAAATTCCATAAAACTATTAATAGTTTTGGTTTTGTTGTGAATGGTTCGGATGCTTGTGTGTATTCGAAGATGTTTGGCACTGAATGCGTCATCATAAGCCTATATGTTGATGACATGCTAATTTTCAGTTCTAACATTGAGTCCATTAACAACGTTAAAAGTTTCTTGTCCACAAAGTTTAAGATGACAGATTTGAGAGAAGTCGATGTAATCTTAAGAGTCAAAGTTACCAAAATTAAAAGGGATTTTCTTTAAATCAAGCACATTATATAGAGAAAGTACTAAAGAAATTTGACAGTTTTGATGTCGTCCCTATTCAAACTCCTTATGACCCTAGCATACATCTCTTTAAGAATAAAGGAATTAGCGTTTCCCAAACATAATATGCTAAATTAATCGAAAGCTTAATGTTCTTAATGAACTATACTCGACCTGATATTGC